GGCAAGGTGGCTACATGGAGATGAGCCCAAAAATAGGTTATAGATGGTGAAGGTATATAAGATGTGAGGAAGGGTTGAATAGTGTATGCTATTCAGGTGTATTGCAATGGATTGAAGAATATATTGTAAAGCAAAAAGGTATCTGATTGAAGAAATCTATTGGCATTGAAAGGGAAAGAAAGTTATGGTGTGTCCAAAAGGAGGCTTTTGCTAAAGATGGCCATAAATTGGCTTTTGCAAGTGACCTAAATATATGCCATATATGGCATTTGACACAAACAACTGTTACTTGTGCACAACTTCAAAGCTTGGGTAGCCAAAAAAGGCTTTTGGAAACAAAACTCAGCTGCTGATCTTTTTTTCACTGGCTATGTGACACAAAAGGTCTGGCTGTGTGAAACAAATGGTGACATTTGCAGTGGCTCAAATGTCAAACCAATCTGGTCTTCTGGCATCAGACCCATGGCGGTTCATGATGTTCTGGGTTCTGGTGTATTCCCTGGCAAAGTGGAGGTTGGCCTTCATGGTCTCCAAGAGGCTTTGCGCATCATCCCAATGGCCTGCAGCATAGTGGTCTACCAATTGCTGGGCTGACCTTCCCCATGCCTTTTTTGGCTGCAATGTGCTTTGCCAAATCAGCTTGGAATTTGCTGACTATGGCATCTGTGGTGGCCCAATCTTTGGCATCCCAGAGGACAGCGAAGAAGACTAACTTGGCCTTCCATCCAGTTTTTTTTGGCGCCATGCTGGTCAGAAGGCTCTGGCATGGCTTGTCCCACACATGGGCCACTACTGGATGCCATAGATTGGTCTGGTGGCACTGCTGCACTTGCTGCTCTGGGGTATGCCTTTGGGCTCTGCAGGAATTGGTTGGAAGCTGGTGAAACTGGCTCTGGTGGTGGTGCCACATTGCCCATTGGTGACCTTTTGGCAAAAAACAAGCTGGGTGGTTGGACTCTTGCATCTAGCACTGGTTTGGGCCAGCAGCTGGCCTCATCTGGCTTTGGTTTGTTGAACATGCTGGCCTCATCTGGCTTTGGTGTGCTGGGTATGGTGGCAAAGGGATCATACTCTGGTGACTTTGCAGGCTCAAATGGAATATCTATGGGAGGTTCTTGCTCCAGCTTGATGGGATCATTGGCTTGGTGACCACTGGCCTCACTGGTGGACAATCTGGGAGCCTTGGGCACATTGGTGCAATCTGCATCATTGGCACTCATCCTGGCCAACTCCTTTGGTCTCCATTGGTATTCATTGGTGGTCTTGTTGGACACAACAGTGTCACTGGAATCACTGGAGGTGGCACTGGTATCACTGGTGGTGGCCTGTGGATCCACTTGCTCTGCCATGGCTGCTGGTTTGTGGCACCTCTTTGGGCTTCAATTGGTTTGTAAATGGCTGGTATAAATTACATAATTGTTGTAGCTACAGCTTGATTTAAAGTATTGATAGAACACTTCGTATAGTGCTTATGTTCTACAGGTTCTGGCATGTTCTTCTGATGCATAAATGGCTGGCTATAATAGTAAATAGATATACTAGTATGCATGTATATATATATATATTCTAAAGGCCACATTGGCTTTTGGATGTGCTTTGTGATGGGCCATATTGGCTTTTGATACAAGTTCACAACTGATGGGCCATATTGGCTTTTGATCCAATTTTACAATTTCAGTGAAAAAATGAAGGCCACAGTGGCTTTTTGCTCAGCCATGCAAATCAAATAAACAATTAGTAATATATTGTGCTTGAATGAAATTTATGTTATTTTTATATTGTTGAAAACTATTTTTTGAAAATATATCAAAACTAGTATTTACAATCACTATGTTTTACATTTTTTGCTTTGAAAACTATTACTATTTGCTATTTTATTGGTTTTATATTTATCTATACAAATGCAAATTTTCGATTTTGAGTCTCAATTTAACTTTCCAAATCCAAGATTTTAGATTTTGATTTTGAATCTAACTTTTCCAATCCAAAATTTTAGATTCAGATTCTGAATCTAACTCTCCAAATCCAAGATTTTAGATTCAGATTCTGAATCTAACTCTCCAAATCCAAGATTTAGATTCAGATTCTGAATCTAACTCTCCAAATCCAAGATTTTAGATTCAGATTCTGAATCTAACTTTTGAAACCAAAAATTCTAGATTCATATTTTGAGTCTAAATTTTTTGACCTCGAACCTGTATGTTTAGATTCAACTCTATTAGATTTTGTTTCCTGAGTGTACTTCACCAAAGATTTTTGTCCACAGTTTTAGCCATTAAGTTTTTACTTTCTTTCTTTACTTCACAAAAAAATCCACCAGTTTAGTTATTAGATGTGGCCTCCTTACTTTACTTCACCTACAAAAATATGATCAGTTTTAGTTATTAGGTTTTGTTTTCTTACTTTACTACACCAAAGATTTTTGTCCACAGTTTTAGTCATTAGGTTTTGCTTCCTTTCTTTGCTTCACAAAAACATGTCCACAGGTCTAGTTATTAGGTTTCGATTCCTTACTTTACTCCACCCAAGAACTGTCCACAGGTGTAGTTATTAGATTTTGTTTTCTTCCCTTACTTCACCACAAATTTTTGTCCACAGTTGTAGTCATTAGGTTTTGACTTCTTCCTTTACTTCACCAAAAAACTGTCCACAGTTTTAATTAGGGGATTTGGCTTCCTTCCCTTACTTCACCAAAATGTTTGTCCACAGTTTTGGTCATTAGGTTTTGACTTCTTCCTTTACTTCACCAAAAACTGTCCACAGTTTTAGTTATTGGATTTTGCTTCCTTCCCTGGCTTCACCAAAAAACATGAAATATATACCTTTCATTAAAAAAACAATTTTAGTGTAGTCAATGTCCATTATAACTCATTGATGTTGGCCACAATGGCAAGTAGGCCAAATATGGCTTTTGAAGTTGTCATGGAACACACTGTTGACTGAGCAAGACATTGGGAGATGGCCTTTGAACACTGCAGTGGACACCTTTTTTCCATCGCATCAGCTGGTCTTGGTATGGGCCATAGTGGCCTTCTAAAAATACATGGACCAGTGGCTGGTCCACAAAGGTCATGGTGACCTGGTGGCCCTCAAGTGGCTCTGGATCCACTGGGGCCTGGCTTGCGCTGGTGCAATCCCTTGGGGAGTGACTTGGACCAGTGGCGGTGGCACTTCTGGCACCTGAACTGGTAGGCGCATGGCTTCCACAGCCATACCCAGCCAGTGGCCTGGCACTTGATGGCCCATGTGGCCATGGCCTGCTTGGCATTCTCTCTGTCCATGGTGGTGTTCTGGTCCTTCATGGCCTTCATGGCTTTCATGGCCTTCATCGCTTTCATGGCCTGCATGGCCTTCATCACTTTCATGGCCTTCATGGCCTTCATGGACTTCATGGCCTTCATGCTTGGTGCCATCTTGGAGTTGGCCATGGCTGGTACAGCTGGGCTTGGTCTGTTTACCTGGCTTGGGCCACACTTGGTCACCTGGCACATGGCTGCGACACAAAATGGGTTGAGCCTTGCGCAAAAGCATAGTTGGACAAAATAGTTTTTTGAAACCTTGGCCATAAAATTGCCTTTGTGAAATTAATCTACCATAGTGGCCTTTGGAAGTGGTTTGGCCAACATGGCTTTTGAAACATTGGCCATAAAATGGCCTTTGTGAAATTAATCTGCCATAGTGGCCTTTGGAAGTGGATTGGCCAACATGGCTTTCGAAAAATAGGCCATAAAATTGCCTTTGTAAAATTAATATGCCATAGTGGTCTTTAGAAGTGGATTGGCCAACATGGCTCTTGTTCCTGCAGCTGCTAGGTCACATGGGCTTTTGTCACACTCCATTCATGGAACTTGGCATCCACATGGTTCGGTGTAAGCAAATGGACCAAAGGTTGGCCCTTGCTTCCTCAGTGGTGCTGCTTCTGATGGCTGTCCTGCCAGGATGCAGCATGGCTTCAAAACAAACAAAGTTGGCTAGCAAACATTGCAAGCTCAGTGGTTGGCAAGACAAAAACTATCATTGATGTATATCATGGAAAAGAAGCAGTTATCTGGCAATCTAATCTGAATTTTATAATCTGCTGTCCTGGTTCGACTCTGATGGCATCATCTCCCAGTGGTGCCACGCATGGCTGGCTATTCATGATGGTGAACCTCCATGGATGCCCACATGTTGGGCAATTCCTGGTCTCATGGTCCACATCCATGGCCATGATGAATGCATGGCAACTCTCTTGGCCACGGTAGCCTTTGCAATGGTACCAAGCCAGTGGTCTCTTGCGTGGCTCCATCAAATGGAGGGCATACTGGGCAACCCTTTGGAGTTGGGTCCATTGGGGGTTGTCCACACATGGGTTGGGATTCACCCATGGCACATAGCTGGGTGTCTCAGTTTGGATTCCTCGGTCTCTGCCAGAGCAACATGGCAGTGGCTGGCCCATGGCAATGCCTGTGAACTGCACTATGGGATTGGTGGCTTGGCTTGAGCCTTAAGAAAATATGGGATTGTGGAATTGTGGCCTGTCATTGATTGACTTTGTTGCATTCTGTAAGCCATTGTGGCCTTTGTTACATGCTACATGCCAATGTGGCTTTTGTTGGTCTAGCACCTGTTGTTTTCAGTGCTATGCTTTTGGTATAGCACATGTTGTTGGTATAGCACATGCTATGCCTTTGTTGCCTCAGCTTTCATACACTTGAATTGCTGTACTTGATTTTTTACATACACATGCACTGATGGTGGACCTTGGTTGATTGCTGTTCTTCTTGGCTGTGCCATTTCCTTTATTTGTGAAAACAGCAGCACCATTCAAAAACATCAGCCTACATAGGTGCTGTCAATGGAAACTGTGGATTGATAATGGTTCTTCTTGTTTTGATGATTATTTTAACAATGGCCATGAGTGGCTTTTTGTGACTTTATTCTTGGTGCTTTTTAGGCCAAACAATGGCTTTTGCAATCCTTGGCTGCAACTTCTCTTTTTGTTGCCACCACTGCTATGGTCACCTGTGGCTTGATTCTTTCTTGGTGGCCTTGTAACTTCTGCTGGGTTGGGCAAAGGCAATTTGGCAACCAGCTCTCAAATGGTAAATGACTTCCCTCAAGGGTTCTGGCTCCATGGCAACAAACAAATCCCACTTGGTTTGTCTTTGGCCACCAACCAAACATGGAATCTCAGTGGAACCCAATAGGATGGTGACCACAAACTTGTCACCTGGTTCTTCCATGGCTTGGGCTTTTCTTTTTTTGGTGCATTTGTTTTTGGGCATCTCTGAATCAAACAATTCTTGGGTCTCTTCTGGCGCTGCCAAATATTCTTGGATCTTGTCATTCCTGGCTTGGGCCAATGCTTGCAATTCCTTGCTCTTGGCCAAGCTGGGGTTCTTTGTGGGCAGCTTGCCACCACAAACCAGTTGGCAAATGGCATAGTTGGTGGCACTGATCTTGAGGAACTTTTGGCCTTGGTGCTCCTCAACCAAGTCTGCAGCAATGCTCACTGGCTTCTCCTCTTGGTATGTGATTTGGCAGCGGTAGGAGATGTCCACCATTGCTGGTTGCAATTTGCTGGCACTGGAGTTGGCAACTCTCTGGTTCCTAACAATGCGGGTATAATGCATGCCCATAGAAAAAATGAAACCAAACATGGCCAAAACATGGCTTTTGTAGGTTGTGACATGTCATGCAGAATGTGCCACAAAACAGGCATTTCTGTTTTGACAAGCTTTTGCATGTCCACCAAAAAGGAAAGTCATTTTTGAAAATCTCAAAAACAAAAGAAGTTTAGGAAATAAATATGCTCAATTCAGCAACAAAAAACAGATATTTTTTTGTTATGTTGTTTTTTGTTTGGTCCGCACATATCCATTTAATGCAAATAATATACAAACAAATCATCATTTTCTGGTAAATGAAAATGAGCTAGATCAAGCTCAAAAAATTATACAGAGTTAACATGAATTAAGTTAGTTACATAACTTCATCAGAAAGTTACTAACTAACTTAACATATGTTAAAAATTAACACTAGTTATACATAGTTAAAACCTAGTTATACTTAGTTAACACACAGTTGTAACTAGTTGCTAAATGAACATAAGTGATCATAATTATGTTAACTAGTTATAACAAAACAAGGATCCCAAGTGCTGCTTAGATTGTCGCAAGTTAGTTAGCCACTAACGCAAAGGAGGGGCCAAGCCAGTAATCATCCGGTCGCAGGAAGGACAATGAAACCATGCCTTCCAGGTTCCAAGAGTGACATAGCAGAAAGCGCAACAAAACAGGACAAATGTTTTCCGCGCATAGTTTGTGCGCGTGTATATACATATAATATATATATATACAAACGCGGCCACAAATTACTTTCGCAATGTCCTTTCGGGGGCCAGTGCCACTCCGCCAAACCAGAGTTCCCTGAGCTCAAGCACCTTTGAGAAGTTGCCACTTTGCGACTAAAGATGCCCGTTTGCCTCTGACACGAAACGACCAAATTCAAAACGTGGGCCAACCCGCGCCAGGCTCAAGGATTTGGGTAGAACGGCAGAGCTGTACATACGATTGCGCCAGGGGCCATCATCGAATAAACGCTGGCCATTTTGGCGGCAGCCCGCCGCCCGCACACGAACAGGCAGCGGAATGAGCTATGATGGTTAGCCACAACGTTGCTTGAGCACGCGAAGGCTGCGCGGACGAAAACGCACAGGCGCCAGCGCTCTCTTCTCTCCATTTGGGCGCGCGCCTCGTCACAGATTCACCGGCCGCATCGTTGGTGAAACACCTCCAGGGACTGGTCCGCGAATTGAGTCCCTTTCATAGGCTTTGCTATTTCAGCTTTGTCAAGCTCATCTTTGCAAACTTGAACTCTTCCCAAAGACGAACACCCCAACTGCTCTTTTCCACCGCTCTGCCACCGCTTGTAAAGGCTCGGGGTAAGCTGGAGATCCGAACCTCTCCAGACTAGATAAACCTGCCGACTTCTAAACTGGCTCCTCCTCCTTCTCGTCCTTCTTGTCTTCTTGGGAACTGCCCTTTCCCTTCTCAGGCTTCCTTTCAGGCACTTGCTCCTTGAGCCTTACCTCGTCTTTCTTGTCCTCCTCCTTCTTCCTCCTTCACCTGGAACACAACCGATGGCTCTGCCTGAAGAAGGTGCCGACCCGCTGGCCGCTGGCTGTATCACCGCCTGCTCCTGCACCTGCTGGGAGAGCTATCTCCCAATCGCTGAGAACCCAATGCTACGGCGGAAGACAACTTGATTTGTGCTTGCGCATGGGGGTATTTCAACATCCATCCATCCATCCATCCATCCATGGCTCAAGGCCATAAGCTGTTCAAGGTCGTGCCCCAACAAACCGACCTAGTGTGGGAATCCCCATTCGCTTTGAACATTTCACGTGTGAACCTCTTCGGCGTCCCAATCCCGCTGTGGCCTTCCTTGGCATTGGTTTTTGCCCGTGATAGCGAAGGTACCCGAGGAGGTGATCCCTTTGACCGGGACCTCAAATTCTGGAACATTGTGAACCATCCTGGTACTACAGCAGGCCTGTTTGAGGAGCACGAACTGAAGCCTGCCTTCTTCCCTTGCTCCTCAACCTGCACAATGACAGGGCATTGGGGTATGCAGCAACAGCTGCTCCAACTGGATCTGGGCTGACAAAGTCCAGACGGGCTTCCGGCGCCGCAAGTGCGGCCAACCCTGGCCATCCAAAGCGGCAGGAAAGGGCAAAGGGACTGCAAGGCCTTTGCCACACTGACTTGCCAAAGAATCCGGGAGCCCAATGGCCAAAAACATACAAGGCCGCTCTGGTTGAACCTCCTCTCATCGTGGAGGACACTGAAAAGGACCAAAGCCCAAAAGGATGTCGGGCGCCACCTGGTCCTCTTTACCAGCTGACACCCAGACGCGGTTGCAGGATCTCGGCATTGGTCCAGCCAGAGTACTAGAACCAGAGCTCACGGACGTCTTCAAGACGCACCTGGATGATCTACCCACACAAATCAAGGGGTTGGTGATCAAATTCGCCGCGCCCACCCCGCCCACAGAACAGCGCATGGCAGGACAGCTCAAACAAAAGGTCACTGAGCTCAAAAGCTTGTCCCTCAAGAAGACGCCCCCCAAACCAAGATTCACACTGTCAAAGATCCAAGAGGGCAACACAGCGCTCAAGCAGGCATCCGAAGAATACTTGCAGGCGGTTTCCACAGAGGTCCCCCAAGAAACTGGAAGGCCATGCAGAGGAAACCAAAGGCTACCTGAAATGTGCACACTGTCACATTGCCATTCTCAAGCGGTCCAATGATGGCATCTTCCAGGAGTTCATCCAGGGCAGGTGCATTGCTGAGGCCTATAGCGGGCCACCCATGCTCTATGGCAACTGGGCCAAAACGTCTCATGCAAGCACTGCGGCCTGAAGGTCAATGTGGACAAACACCACAGACTCATTGAGACGCAGAGCCTCAAACGAGAGTGCAAGGGCGCACCAGTCAAGGCCAGCCCCAAGCTGCGCACTTTCTTTGCCACCCAGGTCACTGCCAGCCCACGCTCTCCAGAGAGCACGGCCTTCCAAAAAGCCCACAGCTCGAGGTCTGCGAGCATGGATGAGGACGTCTGGTGTTCGAGCTTTTCCCGGCAGACGCCGCGGTTGAGTCACAAAGACTCGAGGACACAACGCAGCAAAAGACACACTAAGAAAAAACAATCCATACATCCATCCATCCATCCGTCCATCCATCAATCCATACACACAGACATGCATTGCCTTGCATTGCATTGCATTGCATTGCACATTACATTACATTACATTGCATTGCATTACATTCATACATACATACATACATACAGACAGACAGACAGACATGCATGCATGCATACAAACATAACCTAACCTAACCTAACCTAACATACATAGATAAATAGATAAATAGATACATAGATAGATAGATAGATAGATAGATAGATACATTCATACATACATACATCCATACATACTTTCTACATTACATTACATTACATTACATTACATTACATGCATACATACATATATACAGACACATCATACATATATATACTAAGATAGTACCTCATTTTTCTGCCTTTAAACGTTGGACCTTTCATTTACCCATCCTTTCCTTTCTTTCTTGTTCTAGTTTACTGTTCATTTTTCACCTGGAAACAATTACTTTGGTTCATTTTTCCTGCCCACTGAGTTGCAGGAGCTGCCATGTTGTCACCGACCGATTGCTCCATCTCCCAAAGTTGCGCAGAGTGCCTGCAACCATCAATACCCACTTTACTCAATGTATTTGGGGGGGGAAACGGAGACTGGTGCAGACTAGCACAAATCAGAACAGCATATCTGCCGTGGATACGACGATTCTGACAAGGGGCCAGGATCAGCAGCCGGCTGAGATTCAGTAGCCAGAAGCCAAGGGCGCAACAGGAAAAGCTCCAAGCCACAAGCAGCTCATGTTGCAAGATCTCACACTATGATGGGTTGCATGGGTGTGTGAGCAAGACTGCAACTTACACTTAAGAGCTGCTTCTTGGACATGAAATAAAATCACCTTGCGCGCTGAGTCTGCTTTTTGAGCCCTGCAATTTGTCTTCACGCAAAATCAAAGCTCGTGTGGCCGATAAAGGCTCAGCGCAGATCACAACTTCTGTACCCGACAAGTGATCACGCGGTTTGCATTTCGTGAAACATAAATAAAAAGAAAACAAAATGGCTCATTTAAGACAACACCACACATTTCCGTGTCCGAAGGCCACTAAGTTACTAAGCATCTCTGCACACTATGTCTGGCCTACTCAATGAACTCACAGCGAGGCCGTGTTGTCGGATGTTTTGCCTGGGACACCTCCCTGCACTGTCTTTTGGTGGGGCACCCTTCACTGCCTTCCTTCGCTTCCAAAGACCTCTTTGTCACCTTGATGATCTTGATGGGATTCATGATCCCCGCTTTTGCCGGCCATGGCTGAGTCAAGAAGCGCGACTTGAGGATTTTGGCAGGATGCCAACGGTCTTCGGGCGAATAAGCCAAGAGTCTTCGGGGAATGAGCAGGGCGCCAGGAACATTTGCAAACGCTGGCAGAAGTTCCTTCAATGGCTGTCGTGGCCGTTGCAACTTCACAAGACTGGCAAAGTGCTTTGCCAAGCGTCCTCCTGCGTTTCCAGCTGCCTGTGGCATGAGAGATTGGAGTGCCTCCATTTCTCGAAGTGTCGGTGTTCCCAAAATGCGAACGATGGCATACATTTGACCCCAGCTCGAATCTCCTGTAAAGATTGGCTTTCCGGACATCATTTCTGCAACTATGCATCCACATGACCACCAGTCAATGCTCGTGGTGTAGCTAGAGGAACCGAGTATCAATTCTGGAGCTCGCCACCAGCGAGAGCAAATGTAGTTAGCAGAGGGTCCGTCTCCCAAGATCTTAGCAGATCCAAAGTCACAAAGCTTCAAAGTATCGACCATTGTTGTCATGTCTTTGTTGAGAAGAATGTTTTCTGGCTTCAAGTCACGGTGGCATATACGCAGTGTATCTAGGTATGCCACAGCAGTCAAGAGCTGGATGCTCAACCACCGCACTTCACCAATTGAAAGAGCCTTTCCGCCAATCCTTTTGTGAAGGTTCTCTGGCAAGTACTCCATCACAATGCAAAGGGTTTTGTCCGAAACGAAACAGTCAGTCATCTTCACAATGTGCGGGTGGTTTGCTAGTTTCAGCAGGCGGGCCTCCCTCATTTCATGACCATCAACTGGGACACTTTTCACTGCAACAAGTGTTCCAGCTTTTGTAGATGCCAGGTGAACTGATCCGAAGGCGCCACTTCCAACGTGGCGAATTACTTGATACTGCTGGTAGTTCTTTGAGGCTTTAGTATGGCAGCGTGGCAGCCGAAAAGGACCGCTTTGGTCTGAGTCTGAGCGATCAATTGCTATGATGCTTGGAGGCTCCTTCGGAGGTGTATAGCACGATCCTGAGTTTCCTGGAGGCTGCGAACAACTGATCTTTTTGACGATCTTCACTGCACATATTTCTGCATTGTCCAGTGGAATCAGTGCAGGGCCGGGTTTGAACACTTTGCAATACAATGCAAAGTTCATTGAGCCAAAGAACCTTCCGTATTCGGCTGAAATTTCTGGCAGCTCTAAATCGCTTCTCCAAGTCCATGTTGCTTCCGGGGCCACTGAGCTTAGCAAGAAAACTTCCAAAGTCTCTAAGGTAAGGAGGTGTATACTGCCACGGTAGTGTCTAGGAAAACGTAGAAGGGAACATTTTTCCAATGATCCAATGCTTGATATCACTCCTTCCTCGTGCTGCCATACTGCGCATCCCTCTTCAAAGGTCACGATTTCGCAGCATCCATCAATGATTGTCAGCGACAGCCCAGACATCAATAAAGCACATGCCTCCTGTTGATCGCCGCCTACTGCGTTGAGAGCTGCTCGCGCAACATCCTGAGGCTTTCCTGTGAGCGATGAAATGTCCTGCGAGATCGTTCTGGCAGTGATGTCATTCTCGTGGCTGCGGACGACCACATGACTGAGAGGACCCATACCTGACTACGTGCATTTGAGCCTTACACATAGTCATGAGAAAAGCAAAAGTGTGATGCTGCAAGAAGTTGTTGCACACTTGAAATCTTAGAATACTTGCGACATCCCGCGACAGTCAACAGTTTGATCATGAATTTGAAGAGTTTCTTCATATGGATGGTTCTGTAGTTAGCGGCCATTACTTTCACACGTGAGTCCAAAATGACGCAGGTATTGCCCGAGCCTGGATCATCGGAAAAAGTGATTGAAAACCAAATGCGACAAAGTTGTTGACACCAAAAAGGAATCTGTCCAGGGTAAACCGAGAAATGCAAGACTGCACCTCAGATGTAGAAGGGGGCTGCAAGCCATGGCTCAGGGACTTTGTCATCGACCACCACCAGCGATAATGCAGCTGCGGTGCAAGCTGGTGGTAAAGGAGTGCTCAACTTTGCAGAGCTGTACGGCCAATTCCACGAGCAAGCAGGCATCTGGGGCGACAGGTGCTGGAGACGATGCCACGCTGATGTCCCACAACCAGCAGTCAGAGCATTAAGAGTGGAGAGCAAAGGTTGCGGCATTTCCTGGAGTCGGGCACTACACATATTTTGCTGCCGATGTGTCTCCAAAATTGATGGTTGGAGGATCATGGACTACTCAGAGGCGAAGCTACGGAGCTTGATGCTTGAGGCTGTGATGAGAAGCCTTGTGGCAGGAGTTCCTGCAACCAGAAACTTCAAGGGGCCACTTGGCGTTGTGCGGGAGATCAACGATGGCTGGAGAAAGTGCTGAGCAGTTCTCAGAACAAGACCATCGGCTTCCTGGCCACTTACCTCGATGACATAATGATCCTCGCCCACGATCAGGAAGTCGTGGCTGCACTCCAATGTGTTGAATCATTGTGGACCTGCTCAAAACATGAGATCTTGTCGAGCGCTGGAGACAGCCTAGCAGCTTTCAACTAGCGCGTGAAGGAGGGCTACCATCTGGATCAGAGGGATTATGTGCTCGACCTTAGAAGGGTATCAGCGAGGAGACCCAACTGAAAGGATATGGGCCCTAATATGGGTTGCAGGATTGGGCTGCAGACTGGTGAGGACAAGGCCTTTGACCAATGGAACTCTTTGAGAAGCGCAAGGACTGGTGGGGAGACTTTGAAGGCAACAGCTTCATGGGGGTTTCACTACAAAAAAGTTAGTGCAATCATGTTTGAGCAGTTTTTGGCCGATGGCCGCTGCCACTCTGGTTCTCCTGCGCCAATGCAGGGGCCCCTTGAAGCCTCACACGTGCTACGCACATGCTAAAAGAGACGCAGTCACTTTTTCACTTCCATCTCGACACTTCGTGCGGTCGCGATACAACACGAGTTTCCACATCCGTGTTTTCATATTGGTAGCGGAGCCTCCTCACAGGAGGGGGCTCCAGCACCGCGATGGCTTCGTCGCCGTCCCGCCGCGGAACCTCACGCGACGCGAATGGCGGCAGCTCCTCCGCGAATGCTGGCAAGGATCTGAAGGACAACTTCGTGTCCCGCTTCGACAACACGACCACGACCTATGCTGAATGGCGGAGGCGAGTGACCTTGTATGCCCGGAAGCTCGAGCTCCAAGGTCGGAAGAGTGAGGTTGCCCTCAACGTCCTCTCAGTCCTTGAAGGTCCATCCTGGACCCAGTGTGAAGATTTGGATCTCCACGAGCTGGAGAAAGAATCAGGCCTCGACATCCTTCGCCAAGGTCGAAACGCCGACCCACTTCGAACAGTTCTTCTTCAAGCTACGGCGCAAGAAGGATCAGTCGATCCTGGAGTACACCACCGAGTTCCACCAGATCCTCAGACAGGTCACGAAACACAAGATCGACCTTCCTGAGGAGATCACCGGCTGGATGATGTTGAAGAGAGCCGGACTGACTAAGGAACAGGAGCAGCTCATCCAGACCAACATCGGCTCGACCCTCACGCTCCCAGCTGTCGAGCAGGCTCTCTACCTGATCCTCGGCCAAGATCATCGCCATGTCCACCTTCCTGCTCACCTGAGGAAGCCACAGCTCCCCGGCCGATGGAAGAGACAGAGCCAAGCCTTCTGGGAGGAGGACTATGAGCTGGATTAGAACTACGAGAATGAAGAGACCTACTTCCAGGATGCCATCGACCCCGACGAGTTCCAGGAGACCCTGGGAGAATGGGATGACCCAGAGCTCGATGACACCTACTACTACGATGAAGCTCAAGAAGAGCTGGACTCCATGTTCGACACCCAGGAGTTCGATGACATCTACAGCACCTACGTTGATGCCAAGAACCGCCGACAGAGCCGTGGCTTCTACCCCGTCGTGGCTGTGGTTGACGGCGGAAAGGGTCAAGCACCTCTGATGGCCCAAGGTTCCGGCAAAAGGCAAATCCAAGAGCCCTGGCAAGTCAAAGAGCTCTTCCAAAGGAAAAGGCTCAAAGTCTGGAAAAGGGCCCAGCGGCAAGCAAAGAGCTCGCTCAGCTTTGGTATGCCTTCGTTGCGGAAAGCCTGGCCACTTCGCAGCAAACTGTCGGTGCACAGTCGAGCTCACCAAAGAAGCGACCTGCAGATGATGACTCAATGGTCAACATGGTCCTCAGCATTGAAGAGTTCTATGACGCTGAGGAGGGCTACGACTATGAGAATGAGATCTTCTACGACCCTGAGGAGGCCTATGCCCAAGGGGAAGCTTTGGTTCGCGCTGGCGGCTGGCTCACGCCAGATCCTGACGCTTGCATTCAAGACCAAGGTGCATCCTCGTTCCTGGCTGGCAGCGAATACATCCTGCGCTACCTCAAGTGGCTGGAAATCCTCGGCTACCCCATGGACAAGTTGAACTTCAAGCAGTGCGACAAGTCCTTCCGCTTCGGTGGCGATGCTACAGGACAGTCAAAATGGATGATCGAGCTACCAACACGTCTGGCTGACGTTGGCGGCAAGATCCAAGCCTATGTGATCTATGGCGCCACTCCCATGTTGTTTGGTCGACCCTAGCTTGAAGCCCTCCACGCCGAGATTGACTTTGGCCGCTCTCGGATGCGCGTGCTGAACCAGGAGACCTGGCGGGATATCCCACGTGGCCGTCAGGGAGCAATGCTGCTTCGCCTTGCTGAAGGGGTGACACGCCCAGAGGACTTCTTCCCCGAGACCTTCGATCTTCGATGTGAAGATGACCACAACAATGGCCTCAAGCTGAATGACTTCTTGGACGACCTCAACGCCCATGAGCGCTTCTTCGAGATGACCACCGAAGTGCACGCCTACTTTCAGGCATGTGAAAAGGGTGAAACTGATGAGACAACCTATATGGAGGTCGACCAGGAGAACATGACCGACCTACTACCTGGTGAAACAAGCAGAACGATTGAACAGTTGGAAAAGACCCTCACCATGTTCGAGCACCAGCTGGCTGAACATCAGAAGACGCTTCAACAAGAAGTACATCATGCCCGGGAACATGGCCTTTCCCACCGCAAGCGGCTGATCTGGGAAGTCTATGCTGGAGAAGGCCGCATCACTCAACTTCTTCAAGCTCACGGCGATATAGAGGTGATGCGCTTCGGATTCGAAGATGGATGGGACTTCAACAGAGCCGCACATCGAAAAGCTCTCCTGCGGTTGTGCGATGAGCTTGAGCCTGATGAGATCTACATGTCCCCCAAGTGCACTCTCTGGTCCCGGATGCAACAAATCAATGTGCACAACGAGGCTCAAGCCGAAGATCTTCAAGAACGCCGTGAAGTGGACCGGCGAACTCATCTGACAATGTGCAAAAAGCTGTACTACAAGCAGGTGAGAAGAGGAGACCATGCCCACATCGAGCACCCTCACCTGAGTCTGGCTTGGGAAACGCCTCAACTCCGACATCTTCCCGGACATCAAGCGATCTTCGACCAATGTGCCTACGGAGCAGTTGCCGAGGCCGATGACGGCTCACTCCTGCCCATCAAGAAGACCACCAAAACGCAGACCACAAAATGGGCAATGTTCAACCTGATGTCCAAAAGGTGCGATGGACAACATGTTCACCAACGCCTCGAAGGACGGAACAGATGCAAGAAGGCAGAGAACTACCAGACAGAGCTGGCAACAGCACTTGCTCGTGGACTTCTTCTTCATGAAGGCCTCAATGAACAGGTCTACACCGTCCACAACGAAGAAGACAAAGCCCTCACTGGTGTCCTTCGAAAGCTTGGAAAAGTTCATGGCAGTGAAGCTGTCCGCACCGCCTACCGACTTCATCGAAATCTTGGTCATCCTCGCAAAGATGTTCTTCTCAAAATGCTCAAGGAGCGAGGATGCAACGAGGCAGTTCAAGCGGCAGTTCAAGACCTTCACCGTCCATACTGCGAGATCCATTCCGTCAAGAAGGGCAATGCACCTGGCCACTTGGACAGACCCACTGAGTTCAACTCCCAGGTTCAAGCTGATGTTTTGTGGTTGGAGATGGACGAGATTGGCATGCTCCTCGAGGCTGGTCAACGCAAACAGCGCACCAAGCGCATTGCAGTGCTCATCATGGTGGACGTTGCCACTCGCTACATGGCAGCGCGTACAGTCCCAGATGAAAAGGGCATCTCTCTCCAAAAGGCCCTTGAACGAGCCTGGATCCAGCTCCATGGACCTCCCAAACAGCTCTACGTTGATGAAGGAACTGGATGGGCTTCAGACTCCACAGCTACATGGTGTGAACAACATGACATCGAGCTGCGCATTTCACCTGGCCAAGCTCACACTCGCACCAGCATCGTTGAGCGCAGACATCAACTGGTTCGAAAGGCAGTCTCCATCTTCATGCTGGAGCACGAACTGAAAGGCCTTGACGGAGTTCAACAAGCATTATCATGGTTTGTTCCTTCGGTCAACTCCAACACCTTTGTGAACGGCTTCACTCCGTCCCAGCTTGCATTGGGCCGAGAACCTTCAATGCCCGGACTCCTTTCTGATGAACGTACTGGACCACTACAACTTCAGATGTCCGAGCAGGAGCGGCTTCACAGACGCCTCACTTTGAAGTTCTCAGCCCAGCAGGCCTGCGG